CAGTTGACATCACAGTCACTTATAGCAATAGCATTTTATGAGCACAGCTAAGCACAATCATTACACATAACACAGTCAAGCTCGATTCCTCTCTGTACCCAGCAAACTTCACAATACTCCAGCGGTGGTTCCTTCCTGCAAAACACAAAGACAAAAAGGAGGGGCTTACCCCTCTCACTTGGTTTACATTTAGCTGGCGGACTGTGGCTGGCTTTGCTTGGCCTTCAGCCATGCTAATGCTCACCCAAAAATTTCCCCTCCTTGCATCTTCCAGAGGCTGCTTTTTCAACAGTGCTTTCCTCTCAAAGTGTCAGGTTCAAGGTGTATCTTGCCCCACACTAACCGTGGAGCAACATGCTACTGTTGGCTTATATTTAATTTTTTAAGTTTAGAGGGAGCCCAATGCACAGATCGTTTTTCATGTGCATTGGTCTCCCTCTAAACTTAAAAAATGAAATATATGACTAGAAGATGCATGCTGGAGATGTGATGCATTGAAGACAATGCTTGGTCTCATATTTTGGTCACCTCCTCTTACCAGTTCTGGTTTGGAAAGAAATTATAAATAGAGTTAACATGGTGTTGAACACAGCACTGATACCTTTGACAAATGCATGGGCTCTTGGGTGTGTATACCTCAGGAATCCAGACTGAATCTGTCCTAGACTGCAATTTTACAGTGGGTCTTATTAGTGATATTCAGTATTATATTACTGCATTGGAAAAGTTGAGCATCTCCAAAGCTTGAAATCTGGTCCAATGAGATGGTGCAGCTGGCATCCACGGATACAGTCATGTTTATCAGGTTTAACTGCTTCAGAAAGTTGGTGCAGTTTGAAAAGAGTTCTTAGAATATTTTGATCATGGGTGACTGGTGCCCCTTGAGTCAGGGGGAGACACCAATCAGCCGGGGGGTCCCCCGGTGACTGATTGAGCTGCCCAAGGGGGTCCCCCGGTGGCTGATTGGGCTGTCTGGGGTTGGGGCGGGAGTGGGTCCCCCATCAGTGAGCCTCTGATCTCACTCACTAAAAAGCGGCTGGTGCTTGCAGGGGGGGGCACCGACACTCCCACCTGCCCCCTGCCCAGAGCCTAAACATGGAGCATGGCCTGACAGGGGGTGCGCCAGCACTCTCAGAGGATGCACATGCACCTCCGTGCACCCACTATGTGTCACTACTAATTTTGGTAACTACGTTATTACTCCTTGCCCACTTTTTTTTAAAGTTTTCTAACCCTCCCTCATACCTCCTTTTTTTTCTCCCCCTTTTCTCCTTTATTACTTGTTTGTGACAGATATGTTCATAGTTCAAGTAGACATGTATAGTTGATATAATAGTTCTGATTTTTGTGTTGCATTTAAAAAGCTATAAAATCATTTAAAAATTGTATGTGGGAACTTGGAATTGATGGACATCTTGGGTGGTTATACACATGCAGCACAGGGACGCTGATACACAAGACTTGGAGTAATTACCATGCTTCAGCAGACTCAGTTAATCGAGTGTGCTCTAACACACTGTAATTACAGTGCATGGGAGCAGCCTTGCTGCTTATGTATAGGCACCCCTTATTTGGGTCCTTTGTCTCCTTCCATTTTCAAAGATTTGAAACTTCAGCTGAAAATGTTTTTGAATTATGAGACTGTAAATCTGAAATGATTCATATTTGTTTTGATCCAGGTTTCCTACTTTGAAATTTACTTGGACAAAATAAGGGACTTGCTTGATGGTAAGTGGCATTCGTTTCTTTACCTACTGGCTGGGGGTTATTCTGAGGTTGATGAGATTGTGAGGTTTTAGTTTGTTTGCAGTTGATTCATTGCTCTCATATTTAAGAGCTTGAATTAAATTTAAGATACCTAACTGAATTTTCTGGTTTAGATTTTCTGTGCTTTAAAGTTATATGAACGTATGGATTTTCCTTATGGTATTAGGGGAGACATTTAAAGTTATATCAGCCATTAAGTTCAGTTAATTGAAGAATGGGAAAGACCCCACTTAATGTTAAATTTTGTAATTGAGTTAGAGTCTATTCAAATTATTCCATGGGCATTTGCACAACTGATATGAGCATTTTACTGATAACAATTCTAATGCATGCAATTTCTCTTCTAGTGTCAAAGACAAATCTGGCTGTACATGAAGATAAAAACAGAGTTCCATATGTAAAGGTATAAGGAAAAATTTGAGATATTTTGGTTCGGGTCTTCCCATTACATTCTTAAGCCAGCTTCTGCTTTTACCAATATGTATTTCCTTAACTTATATTCAGTGTGTGTGGGTGAGAGGGATTGGATTAGACAAAGTCATGAAGAACAGTCCACTGGGACCTATTAAATAGATATTAACCACTGATGATTGATGCCAGGGAAGATGTGACTGGTGGTGGACTACTGTAGACATTAGCTCTGTGTGAATAGTCTATTTGGATTTGGCTCATTCAGAGGACAGTGATTTGAATCAGAGATTCAGATCACTGTCCTGAATCAGTTCGTCTGAATCAACTTTGAAAGATTCGGCACTGGTTCAGAGAGATTCGGTGATTCGGATTGGCTGGAGAGAGGCAGGCACAGCCGGGTGGCTCCTCTGGCTGTTCCCACCTCTCTCTGGATGGGAGGAGCCATGGGAGAAGCCACCATGGCTGCCCTGCCCGGCCCCACCACCAGCCTAGTCCCGGTACGCAGGGGCTGTGGGGGCTGTGGGGCCTCCTGGCAGAGCCCCCCCATGTAGCCACTGCTCCCTGCTCACCCCCCTGCCTGGCCCCGCCCTTAATGGC